ACGATTATACATATATACATATACATATGTATATATCTAGATCCAAAGGGCTGAAGTGTGCGAATGAACATGTGCGCTTGCACAGTTCCCTGGAAACTCCATTTATTTCAGCCGGGAGAAACAAATACATCTCGTTTCGCTAACAAAGTTGAACAATAACCAATTCGAAAGCCCGGAGACACGGCAGGCATCCATTTCGATAGCCCAAAGATAACGCATCAGAAATATCGCCTTCCTAATCCGGACTTGACCAATGCCAGTCACATATGCCAGCTTCCGATGCGCAAGCAATTCACACCTGGCGTGGCGTCCATCAGGTGCAGATTTCATGCAATGCAGCCGGCTCAGACACGCATCGGAAGAAGGTCAGCTGGATGGCTTCAACAGCCGACCTTAGCAAGTGCAATATAGGTTTTCGGTAGTGTGCAAGAACAAGATAGAGAAGTCACCGATGCGAGTAAAACTAGCCTCAGAATTTGGAATGAAAATCATCCAAAAAGAACACAACATGGAACCGGTTGGAAATTTCGGAACATTGTGACCCAACGACTTGGTCGTACGGTTGACAGTAAAGGCGTAACGCCGGACACGAGACTCATGCCACCAAACAGTATCAAAAGACAATACTGAGCACGAAAGGAGTCGGGTAACATGCGGTTCTGCCAGCGCTAGTAAGAGCCATCAGGCTCGTGTACGTGTGCAGTCCCTGACTTGTACGACATCATGCCTAATGTCTTGAGATCTCGAGGTCCTGTCGAAGACAAACACTGGTTGCCACTTTGTACACTGCGACCACTAAGCAAGGCTGCGTGTTCCAACATACAAGATGGGCGCACTATCTCTGACACCGAGAATGACCCCCTAGTATTCCAGGGACTTCCACTTGCACAGCAGCATGCCCGATGTAACCGCACGACTTTCCAAGCCATGCATGGAAAGTTTCCGAATCTCTACCGTCCCGCACTATCGTCCCATGGGTAGTATCTAGGTACCACACACATTTGAAATTTGTTTGGCTAATTTCAATCAGCTACTCCAGCCTTTGTGTGATGCGCTGAGTTTACTCCTGGTCTGCCCCTGGGCTGTGATTCATGACAGTTCATATATAAAGTTTCATATGAGTACGATAGCGAATGCTTAGCACTACAAGGACAAATGGACAAATCTACTGGGATAACAATGGTCACCTGCATCTTGATGCACCGATAGAGTGTTTATTGGTAGGCGTTACCGGTTATCTTTGCATATTCGGTAAGAGCATGACACACATTGCCTGTTAACTTGAAGCGGAAAGAGGGGTGCGGGGTTTAACGAGGACGTTTCCTCAAGTCTCAGTACCACAGTGGAGCCTCGATGTTTCTCAAGGGAGTAATGAAAAGTTGTCTTTGCGCCCTGATTCACGCTGGTCGGTCTCATAATGCGCACGCCCGGCTGCTGAGCGGTAGACGTATGTTCCAGGGATTGTTCGCTATGCAGTCATGCAGCTTCTCTACCAAGATAGGGCACCATATTTCCAGGGCGAACATGCCTCCCCACTTTATGGGATTGGAATGTATACGGGCGTGATTCTAACGCAGTGATCAACGAATCTTAGCAAGGCTTTCAATACGGAGGCTCTTAAAGCTGCAGGATTGCCCAGTGTTGAGTTCATGATGCCTGCACGTATGACGAAAGCCAGCAGTGTTCTTCGTAAATGGCAGCATCTCTATCTCATATCATTCTGTGCGATGCAAGACATCGTGCATCAGAAGGACGATGAGATGCAGAGGGGATCCCGCTGCATTGCTTTGTATGTGGCACTGGAGACAGTCTCGATCAATCTGCTTGGCAGCCAACACCATTGCAATGGAATTGTACTCAAGAAGCGGTGACTGAAAGAAGCACTGACAGTGTATCCTTGCGCAAGTGTTTGTTGACGCACTCGCGTAGTACAACCTAGTCCTATGTTGCTATAGCAGATTACTTCGCAAACCAACATCGCACCTGAAGGCTTCGTTTCTCTGCGAAGCCATTTTTGACGAGTGCGCTTACAACTGGAGGGTGCACAACTTTTAGTAGAAAGCTTGCACGTTCTATTGGAAGTTCTGTATTTCGGTGAGGCAATCAGGTCAAAAGTGGTCTTGTGGTTCCAGCCGGGCGAGAATGTAACCGAAAGCGGCCTGCAAAACCGGGCGGCCTGCAAAACCGGGCGGCCCATACCCCCCAGGAGGGCTCTCCCACGCACTTTCTTCGACAGAGCAGAAAAGGCAGTGGAGACGCATGTTCGAGTTTGCCATCCTCGAAGTTGACGACACTTGTCGATCGATGTGCGCTTGAAGCGACTTGCCTTCGCGACGATACCACATGACCGGATTCATGTTGTAATTACATCTTTGAAAAGATCGAGGGTGCAGAAAGCAGGCAGTCTCTGCGGAGGATATCTTGTGAGATCCCTTGAGCAGTCCTTTCATTAGCGCAATCGTCTTGGAACGACTGTGGCTAGTGTTCCTGTGGTAAACACGTATTGTCTGTCATACGTATCTTTACTCCTGGGTGCGGCTATAGTTGCGAAGGTTGTAAGAACTCCTGCGATGGCGGAAGAGTCGAGATGACTTTTACGAAAATTCTGCAGCCGAGACTCCATGCCCTCTGAAACGGAATAACATATCAGTTCGGCGCTAGTGCTGAAGTTCCCAATTGATTGAGAATGAAAGGCCTCCGAAATCTGCCTTACATGTGTCCACATGTTTTCTTTTCCTCTCGCCCTGCTTGAGGGTAAGACTAGAGCCTCATTGAGATAGGCTGTGAATGGTTGCCTAAGAAGGCTGCATGCACTCACTGCCTCTCAAGCTGACATGTCCTGAACTGGGCGTAGACAAAACGAAATGGCAACAGGGGGATCGTCTTGAAGGAGGCCTGTTTCATGGTCAATGTTGGGAAAGCGTGTTTGTTTTTGACAACAAGGAGGTAGTAATTTGGATATCGCATATCGCAGGGTATGATATGTATGATAGAAGGAGACGGAAGTGATGCAATGTAGCCGCGAGTCCATACGAAGGGAGAGCTTCCTTAGCTTCTGGCTCGGTGAGACCTGACCCGCCTGTCAGCTAGCTGGATTCCCAGGGCGTAGCATATAGCGAATCAAGTGCTGGCCGACCCAAAACTCCTCTGCCCCTCCATACATACCCATAACCCTCCCCTCGTTGACTCTCCGAAGGATGGATGGCTTTTCATGATATATAGCATAGAGAGAGAGAGATATATATATATATATATATATGCTTTTAACCTCTCCTCCCATCCACACCTATCCCTCCTTTTAGAACATAAATAACTTTGCGTCTGCCTCACTTTCCATCCACCACCACAAGAGAAGATCGTTCCCGAGCCTTACTCACCGGGACACCTTATTATCCTCGTCCTCGCCCACACCCGCCAGCGTCCTCAAAATCTTCGATCACACCTGCCCATACCATTATCATCGCCCGACCTTGAGCACTCGGCAAACTGACCTTGCTTCGCGTGTGGCTTATCATCGCACCCATCATATCAACACCTCTGCCCAACCATGTTCCACACTGGCCCTAATATCCCACCACCACCACCAGGTTTTCGACCAGGTG